ATCATCAAATTATCACTGAAAATAATAGCTTAACATATTTTCAAAAGCTTGAATGAAAAATAAGGTAAATGAAAGAAAGAGCTTAGATGCTATAGAAACCAGAATAATGAGAATACACACAAGATTATGAAAGTGAGGTACATACGTTTCTTCTTCTTCTAACTGAATTACCACTCGATCCTCCTCCTTGACTAGCACCAGAAACAAGATCCAAAGTTTGCTTAGCTTGGGTATTAGAATTACCCATTGCATGAGATTGAGGGGTTGAACCAGAAACAGTACCATCTTGCCAAAGGTGTACCAAAGAGGTAGTACCACTAGGAAGAGTAAGAGTTGCATAAATGGTTAATTCATTATTCTGATATGTAGAAGTCAAGCCAGTAATAGGGTAACTGATATTTCCCTCTGCTAAGGTAGTGCCATAATCAGATATTGAAGAAGTATATGTTTTTGGTGCACCATTAGATTGTGGAATAGCCACAAGTGCTTGTGCTCCAGGCATAGCTGAAGTGAGATCATTGTTGGGATTTATAGCCCATGAAACCCATTTATCTATTGAGGTGATTCCTGTGTGTCTGAATGCTATGTCAAGTTTCCCAGTAGCTTGATCATAAGACCAGTGAAGATAAGATGTTAAGTAAGGAAGATCATGACATGTTGTGAAAACCTTGTTTGTAGTTAAGGTTTGTTGTGTGCATGTCTGCGCTGAGGTTGTGAAAATAAGAGAACTGAATAAAAAAATTGTCAACACAAACCTTAACATCATCATAAGTTAACACCTTTACTTTGATACAAAAAAAGGGTTGTTGGTAAACTGAGAATATGTTTGAATGAGATCAAGGTGAAGTTGAATGAAGTGTGGAGCACGTCTGGGTTATGGAAAAGAAGAGAATGGAAAGGGGTTATTATAAGAGTTGGTGGTTTAGGTTGTGGAGTGGTTGATGTAAAACTAAGGACTAAAAGTCTTCAATATTCGAAAGATCTTTACTCTTCGGAAATTGGTTTAATCTTAAAATAAGCACCGTAATTTATGAACAAGGTTAGATTACCACAACGCGTGTTGGGTCAACTCGCTTGGTTTCTCGTCTTTTATAAGTAACCAATCTTATCATAAATTCATAGTTTTTGGAAGGAGATCACATGTCTTAAATGATGTCTTCATTCGTCAATGATATTATAACATGTTATTTAAAATATGCACATCAATGTTCTACTAAAAAATATATATTTATTATTGAACTTTTAAAATAATGTGACACAATATTATTGGTCGGGACATGGATGAGGACACCATTTTAAAATAGGTGATCCCCATCCATCCCTAGTTTTACCCATAAATATTCTCAGCCATAAGTAATTTTCCAGTAAATTTTAAGTTAGTAAGTAATATATAATTTTGTCATATACATATCACCTAAGTAATTTACAAAATAAGGGATAATGCTGCCCTCCTGACCTCAAGGATGTAGAAATGAATGAGGAAAAAAGATAGATAAATATATATAGATTATATAGAGTAAAAGTAAAAGATATAAATAAATAAGGGGTAAAAAGTGAGACAAAGAGAAAACATTATAAAATATAACAATTGAACCATATGGTATATATAGTGTTCTTGTGCTTTGTCGCAAGAGGGTGAGTCGGGCTGGAAGACCTGATTGGTGGTCTTCAGGTGTGAGAGGATGAGTCTTCGAGATGAAGTTCGTTGGGCTGAAAGGCTTGATGTGACGATGTCCTCCGGGGGGACTTCGCTCCTATAGGTGGGTGGAAGCTTAAGACGCCTGGAGTATGCTCGGGCCCGTTGGGGGAAGCACATGAAAATGTGTTTCGATGATCAAGTCAGTAAATGACCGATGGAGGAGATCCACAGTTCATAGCATACATAAATACGACACTCAAGATATTAGAGTAGGGGAACCAATGCCCGAGTGTAAATGTGTTATATGATAGAGTCACAAGTAGCCTCTATTGAGTTGTGTCTTGAATGATTTCACATGTATCTTCCCTGTTTATTGTGATAAGAGGAGCCCCCATTTATAATGAATGTAGATGAAGAGTTCTTTGTTGGATGTTGTTGGCATAGCCGACCATCTTAGCCTGTCGATCCGTCTCTGGTAGAGCATTGGGTTGCTTTATGCGTGTCAGGTGGCTTGGTGAGACCGTACTATATGCATAGTTGACTTATAGGCCATGATAGCCGCAACATAGGCATGCATTTGTTGTAGAGCAGAGGGTTAGGTGAGGGTTGGAGGCGGCGTGTGATAGGTGTTGGTAGCGCGTAACGTGGTGAAAGAATTGTGCCTTTGCTCCAGTCTGATGTAGCGTCCGGGTGATGATACGATTTCTATGGCGAGTCGAATCGATTGGTTGGCCTGACGGGTCATAGTGACCCAGGGCTTTGCCAAATGTTCTAGCGTGACCAATGTTGAGTAATCTATTCTAATCAACGAGTACCCATTTGACTGAGTTGCAACATACATTAATATATATATATATATATATATCATTATAATATTTATATAACAAAACCCATAAAAACACCAGGCCAGAATGCACCTGAATTCATACTAGAGTAAATCATATTTGACTAGGTCTCACTAAATTCTAAATTGTTTGGATTCAAAGAACCTTTATCTGTTACAAATACAATAATAAAATTATGTGACCAAAGCAAAAGGTAATAACGGGTTCTTTGATTGTAATTTATAAGGTATAGTTTTAGTTGGTATATGAACAGACCTACTTAAAACTATATCTTCTTTTCACTTCTGAAATGGTTTCAAAAGTTGGAAACTTGATTTTGATGGGAGACATGAGTGGAGGACAAGAATTTTGTTGACCGGTTAAACCAAACTAGTCTTATGTCCACCCTCTCAAAATATGTCATAGACAATGTTTCATACTAATAATATTGAAGAAGTCAGATATTTCTATAAAAATGGATGAGAGAGGGCATATAAGTGCATGAATTCACAGACCTAATATTTTAAGGTTTTGAGTCAAGAAGTGGTGTCAATCTCACTTATATGTTTCTTTCACTTAATACACAAGAGAATGTTATAGTCAATGGATAAAGATCTCACAACAAATAGTATTAGAGTTGATGGTTCGACGACTCAACTAAGTATTGAAGCGACAAATATCCAATTGAAAGAATGATATACCCATAGATGAAAATCTCCCAACAATTCAAACCCAAATTTCTTATTTTTGTTTGGTATAAAATATGTTTTATCCTATTTTATATTCAGGACTCCAACTCAGGCCAACTTAAACACTTGAGGACCCACTTTTTTTTATATATTGTTTGAGTGATTGTTTATGTAATGAATTACTTAGGCCATTTATAATATATATATTGTGGTTGCTCATGCTACATTTGAGTCAGTCAACAAAGTTGTACATTGGGATAATCTCCAGTGATGTAATGAGAAAGATATGGGTTTGATAATTTATAAAATTATTTTATGTTAAAATAAATTAAAATCTAGACTAGTAAACCTTTTTCAAGATATTTATCATTGTCTCCATCCAATATATACATTCACAAATACTATTTCACAAAACACATGCAAGAAATGGTGCAGATATACACCTTATATATTTTATTTTATAATTAATTATATTTGTTAAAAATAAAAGTTATATAGGTTAAGATTTTAAAAACTATAACCTATGGTAAATTCAATTTTAGAGATATATAGAATGCAAGTTAGAAATATAAATGTTTCGTAAAATAAAAAATAACAGCTAATTTACAACGTCTACAAATCTAGTTTCTTTATTAATAGTACATAAATATTATTTTTAATGCATTTTTAACTTATGAATGCTAGATTTTTTTACCGGAATTTTGGTGGAAGTGAACTCACTTTTTTATAATTTAATATTACATAATTCAATATTTTACACAGCAAAAATTATGTAGACTAATTTTTAACATGATAAAATTAATTTAGAGAATAATAAAATGTAAATTAGAGGAAATTAATTTACATCATCTAAAGATGAATTCCCTTTATTAATACTAGCGTGTTGACAAGCACTGCCATGCCTGTCAACCCACTTTCCTGTTGTTTGTAATATGTAATAATATGTATAAGAAAAACGACAATATGCTATGTTCTAAAATATAAAAACTGCATCACTTAACAGTTTATAGATAAATGAATAATATACATATATATTAAGTTATAAGTTCTGAAGGGTAAAATATGTATTTAAAAATTATATCATGAGAAGTTATGAGAAGTTATGAGAAGTTATTTTAAGTTTTCCATTTATAAGTAGTATATATATATATATATATATATATATATATATATATATATATATATATTAGTTGTACGCCGAATAAAAATTACACAAATAATTGTATACAAATTATAATTTATTACTGAAAATAATAAATTGTTTAGTCACACTTTCTATTAGTTATTTGTATTTATTATTTATAAAATTATATTACTAAAAAGGTATAAAGAAGTAAAAATAAATTTCTCAATGGGCTCTTATCTATTAAAGTAAAATTCTTGACACAAAGATCCAAGTATATTGAACTTTAATATCAGAACCTTGAAATTGTCATCACCGCATGGTGGCATTTTCTTTTAATATTCCAAATAGTTTTCAGCATAAAAAGTGGCCATAGGTAATTGTCCATAGGGAAGACACAACACAAGTGGCCATAGGTAATTGTCCATTAACGTTTCCTTATATAATAACGTTAAAAAAAGCATTACTTAAGTAAAAAACTACAAGGTCATTTCGTGTGCGTGCGTGATGAAAGGTGATCTCAAAATCTCTAACTCTTACCTTGACTTTCAAAGTAATCTTTCATTGACTGTAGTGTTTTGGACCAACCTCGTGCAACATTTTTATGAATAGAATAAAATATATTATAGTGATAAATTATCAAGAGGATACAGAATGATTTTATATGCTTCAAACTTGGGATTTTACCATTAAAAAAAGAAGCTTTAGAATGAAAAATGAAAAAATAGATTGTCAAGAATGGGATTCGAACCCATGCCCTTTCGGACCAGTACCTGAAACTGGCGCCTTAGACCAACTCGGCCATCTTGACCATGTTTCTCTTTTAGTTCCTAAATATTTGTAAATTTACCTCTTACATACACACCCACTATATCCAAGTACTCTTCCACCGTTTATTTTTTAATATGATATTAACAGTAAGCAATTTTGAAAATGAAAATTCAACCATACCTACTTTATATATACCCACAAAATGTTGGTGTCCTTATAATACTACTCATTGTATGTTACATATAGAATGAAACCTAATAAAATGGTGGAATAGATATGTTCTATTTCATTGGCCACACCCTAATATGTTAAGGAATTTTGGGGTTGTTGTATAAACTTCAATTTCATTTTATCATTAAAACAACCTCCAACACAAACATGAGATCAATCATATACAATTCATAAACAAAGCTGAAAATGGCACAAGAAAATATTTGTACTTTGTAGAAGATGAGTCAGATAAAAATTCATTGATAATATACAAGAGAAGTAAACAATGTATTTCTTAACAATATGAAACATCACAATAACAAAAAAGAAATATAGAATAGTTTGGGAAAAAATGGGAAAAGAATAAGGAAAAGGAAGGTGTTTTTGTTTAAGTCTATGTTTAACACAAGCTCTCAACCCTTTAAGTGTAAAGCATTTGTAAGTACTCTAGTTGTAAATCATTCAACACAGCCAAACCAACTAGCTCTAATGAAATTCTTGAAGCACTACTAAACCATATCAGAACAATACAAATTATGCTTTCCACAATCTTTTGCCTTCTGCTCTAAGAAATCTGAGAACCAGTTGATAACTTCGCTAGGCAGCAATTCCTGATGCATAACATGTTTAAAAACACATTAATACACATAAGCCTCGTATTCCGATAATGCTGTGATTCGAATAAAAGAACATATGTAATTAATTAGCAAGTAATCAGAAATAAGGGATTCAGTAACACAAAAGCAATCCAAAATCGGCACCAGATTATAATAAAAGAGTAACACAAACTAACCTCTATTTGGTTGTCTATTGGCAACGGCATGAGCCTCAATATGGGCACCAGATCTTTGGCTCATTAAATCTGAAACAACATTACCAAGGCCAAAACCAAGAGAGCCAGCATCCTCTTGTTCTGAAGGTGAGAATCTCCAAGTATGGACCCCGTAGAACGATCCAGCTTCATAAGTATCTTTGTAATTGTACGTCTCATCATACTTTCCGTTTGATAGACCATATGATGAGGCCGGTGCAGCAAATTTTTCTTGACTTTTTTCATAACCTACTGCTTTTGATCCTAAAATCACATCTCCGGAGCTATAACTAGGACTGCTCTTATCATAACCGGAGCCAGTGGTTCCAGCTTGATCAGTGCCAATGGAGGAACTCCAAAGTTGTCCAATACGACCAAAAGAACCCATGTTTGAATTATCGCTTCCATAGCCAACATAAGAATCGGAGTTTCTAGGGTTTGTAGCGTAGTTTAGATTCCCATTCCCCCAAAAATTCTGCATTGTTGAACTTATGGTTGAATTGTTGCATGCACTTGTACCAGCATACCCCATTGAATTACTGTACCTGATAGGACTTCCACTAAATGAAGGGTTCAATGCACGTCCTAAGAGAAGGGTGGAAGCAAAGTTTTCATTTTGGCTCAACGATGGCTCAAAGCTGAGCTCTGACCCATAACTAGGACTCATGAAAGGATATCCACTGCGACCAACAGTACCGGGACTCAATCTATCGTCTATTCTAAGTCCATTCCCTCCAACCAAACTTGAATTATATCCCTGAACAAGACCATTAGCAAAGCTACTAACTCTACTTAGACCGTAGTTATATCCACCTAACTGAGCTCTATTTGGACTTGGAGAAAATTCCTTTGGAACAGCCCTTTTAACCTCAACCATTTTACCATGCAGTTCATGAAAAGTTTTTTGGAGCACCTTCTCAACTCCATCCTCAGAACTAAAGGTGATGAATCCGAAACCTCTAGGCCTTTGAGTGCTATGGTCATACATCACGACAACATCTGTAATTGTTCCAAATTGATCAAAGTATTTCTTAAAGTCACTCTCAGTAATTGTAGATGCTAGACCTCCAACAAATATCTTTTTTGAGCGGGTAGGACTAGGAGTAGGACCAGGAGACCCATGACTGCTATTGTTTGTTCTGTTCAGAATACTCTGATCATCTCTAGGGATGGCCTTTTTTGCTTCAACCTGTGTGTGGAACACATGTAGATAAAATTCAATTTAAAACCTTATACTAAATAATAAATAAATGGGGCACAACAGATGCAATAGGCTCTGTGAGCATGAAAGATTAGTGGTCAGGATTTGAAGTAAACAGATTTTTTTGAAGATGCAAATATGTGTTTAAAAAAATACTTTTATAAATGACTTGACCATCTTCTTTCCTCAAATTTACTAATCCCACTATTTTTACCCAAAAATAATCCCTTTGGAAGAGCTACTGTAGCATGACAAAGTTTTTTTACTGCACTGGATCTTGTAACTACGATATTGTATTCTTCAAAGCATGAGATGTCAACAGTAACATTACATCTTCTGGCATCAATCACTTGTCCCTATCATTGCCTAGCCATTTCTATCACGCCAACTACCCTTTGGAATTGCTTAAGTGATTCAAAACATTTAAATTTGCATCACCATGAACTCATAATATTGAGTCTCATTCAAATATTTAATGCTCAAATTGTATCATGTATGCAGACCCAAACTTCAACCATGTCAAATTTATATCTTTCCAGATCAATATAGTAACTATTCGAGCTTAGAGTCTACCTTTTTCGTTTCTAAAACTAAAGTTGCATCGTAATGTAGCAAAATATTGCATCAAATTTTATATCTTCTATCGCGAAAGAGTGTATCTTGATTAATTTTGTAAAATTGTCAATAGAAACTGATTCAACTTGCTGCAACATAAACATATGAACCAAGATGGAAAACTTACAGTTCTTCCATCTATGACATGCTTTTCCAAAACAACTTTCTCAGCAACAGAAGGATCAGCAAAAACAATAAAGCCGAAACCACGGGCACGTCCCGTGGTTCGATCCTTCATTATCATTGCTTCCACTACATCTCCAAAATTCTGGAAATACTGTCTGAGTCGGTCTTCATTTGTGTCCCAGGAAATCCCTCCAACGAAAAGTTTGCCGGAGTCCATTTCCATCCTGCACTTCCCAATACTCCAAATCTCAAATCAATTCTATTTCAAACCACCATTTATATAAAAATAAAATAAAATGCATAATTCTCCTGAAAATAAAAACCATTGAAACGCACACCAAAAGTAGAAACAACTATAAAAACAAAACATATCGAATACAATTAGGAACTCATAATCTCCCAACAAAAACCTCGTATTCATTTCCTTACTCCAAGACAACATAAAATTCAACGAAAATAAGAACCATCACACGCATAACATGTAATGCTGACTCAGGCACGGTGGAAAAAAAGATGCAGAGAAATATATATATTTTTAAGACAATTTTGCAGAAAATTAGGATGTTCCAAGCAACAGATAAAGCACAATTATACATGATTGAAACTAAGAAATCTTATTAGAACAACAACCCATAATCTAAAATTGCATAAAGAATCCAACTTTAACTCAAACTTCATATGACAGGAAAAGAAAAACATCGGGAGAGAAAAAAAGTACCAAATGAAAACAACCCAGATGAGAAATTGATGGAATCTAAAATCTGAGAGAATGCATACTAAGCAAAGAGGGGCGAGAGGCCCTCTTTTTTTTTTTGCCTTAGCAGCTTCTTTTATGGAAGAAGAATTACTGTTGATAGACCGCTGTGTGGATCCAGATGGACAAAAAGAATTTTGCTTGTAATATTTTTTTTATATCATTTAGCATTCATTTGTATTAAATATGAATGTTACATATTATATAAAACTGTTATAATGTTAGATGAATAATTTTTCCTCTAATGTGTAAGAAAGTTACACCAAGGGATAGAAGCAAGTTTAATTTTCATTTCAGATAAAATTTGAATAAACAAGTAACCCAAAATATATTATTTTGGTCCTATTGTTAATAGTTGATTAAAATTAGGAGACAACATGAGGCATGTTTGGGCCATGTTGAGTACTTCATATTCAACTTACTAACTTTATTAAAAAAACAAAGAGTTTATGGTATTAGACAGTTTTGTCTTTTATCTTAGGGATTAAAATAGGTTAGAGGCAAGTATAAGGTCTAATCTAATCTAGTATATTATTTCATGTTCTATTTATTCTGATAAATACATAAATAAATCATAAGTTAATGGTAATTCAGTGTACATATAATAGTTACACTGAATAGGAATAAGAGTATTACATGCACATAGATGAGAGGAGTGAAAGTTTACTTTGTTATTAACCACTCACATTTATATGTTTATATTTACACAAGTATTAATAATTATAATATAAAGGTAGTACTAGGCCAATGCCTTAGCTCCTTCTAATTTTCCAATATAAGCTTACACTACAAGCTCGAAATAAAAAGGAATTAAACCAGTAAAAAAAAATGAATAACTTTGTTCATCTCACATTAATTACAATATCAAACTATAGAGAATGCTAAAGTAAAGAGGGCACACAAACAACTATGTTTTAGGATTCTGTCTCTGTCATTTTAGTATTGACATGTACATCAGGTTTAGAGATTCAGCTGCATAACCCAATATGCATGTTACAACAAAGCTAACTCTCAAGTTCTATTCAGAAACTGAAGGATATCACTGAACTATGGTTAAGGGTCAACAATAGAAGGAAGGGGTCACAAGGAATTATACATATATATATATATATCTAAGATAGTGTGAGTCAGTAACATCTCCAAGCAGAAGAGGTGGACATAGGTCTATTCTTCCAGCCAAGATAAAGAGCATCATCTTTATGTGCAACCCTATAATTTTCATTGAATTCATTCAACATATTTCTGACTGCACCTGTCACAGAGGAACTCAATGGATATGGTGCAAATCCAGCCATTGAAAATCTTGACCTCCACTTTCCAAAAG